AATCTTCCTAACCTTGTTCAATACTTCAACTCCATCTTTGAAACTTAAAGATGCAATCATTTTCCCAACTTAACGGCTTGGATGTCTAATTTGAGAATTTGTTTACAAATAATCCATGCAGATAATAATAATAATAATAATAATAATAATAATAATAATAATAATAATAATAATAATAATAATAATAATAATAATAATAATAATAATAATAATAATAATAATAATAATAAATATGTGACAATCCAGTTAGCAAAAATGGAAGTTAACATGTTAAAAATATTAATTGTTTTTTTTTTTTCCAGGTTCAGTGCCTTATCTAGAAGTTTTTTTTTTTTTGAATGCTACTAACTCTATTAGAATGTAGTATAAGTCTAACCCGGGTACCATTGGACCACATAGTCCTGGTGCAATTGTTATGCCGTGCAACCGTACCATTCTTGGTACACACGGTTGAAAACGGCACCGTATAGTACTATGGGAGTATTGGTGCCGTTAGGGCACCGTTTCACTCATCCGATCGTTTAAAAAAAATTATTATTGTTACCATAAAGCGCCACTAGACGCCTTTTTCCACCATTTCCAACGTTTCGTCTCCAACAAGCTACAGAGCTTCTTCGCACTGTTGCAGTCTTCATCGCTCTCTTGGTCTACTCGGAGTCGCGATTCTCGCCGTCTTAATCTCATTGTCGCTGAAGCCGTGTTTTGTTCACCATATTCTTCTAGCATTGTCGCCATTTTCATCGCCTTCTTCCTCAGGTATAATGTATTTTTGTGATTTTTGACTGTTAATGTTCATATTCGCTATAGATTCTTGTGATTTTTTACTAGGGTTTTGCAATGCGATTTTGGATTTTTCTCAAACAGAGCAATACTCAAACTTTTTTTTTTTTTTTTTTTTTTTTTTTGGTGTTTTTGAAATGTTTGTGGACATATAGTGATGATATTATGGATATATAGCTTTATAATTATGGATGTGTAGTTTAATACTTCTGCATGTATGAAAATATCATTCATGTCTTCAATTAGGGCGTTTTTGAAATGTTTGTGGACAAATAGTTGTGATATTATGGATATATAGCTTTATAATTGTGGATGTATAGTTTAATACTTCTGCATGTATCAAAATATCATTCCTGTATTCAATTAGGGTGTTTTTGAAATGTTTGTGGACAAATAGTTGTGATATTATGGATATATAGCTTTATAATTGTGGATGTATAGTTTAATACTTCTGCATGTATCAAAATATCATTCCTGTATTCAATTAGGGTGTTTTTGAAATGTTTGTGGACAAATAGTTGTGGATGTATAGTTTAATAATTCTTATTTACAGAAATGGTGCGCGAACCTACACTGGGTGAGGCTCTTAGAGAAACAAAAAGAAAAAGAACATCGTACCTGACAGCAGCACTCCTAAATTCACAAGCAGCTGAGAGCTCTAATCCAACTAATGAAGAACACCCTACTAGGCAAACAACCATTGCAGAGACTTCAACGAGAGGGTGCCAAACTTCGCGCAAAAGACGCCGAGCACCACAGACTAGAGAAAAAATGGGAGATTACTTCAGTACGAGGATGGGGCCAAAGTTGATGTTTGACCTTGTCCAGGGGCTCTCAACACAGCAGAAACAAGCTGTGGTTGATATTGGATTTGGTGGACTTCTACATCTCCAACTCTGCACCAATGAATCAAAGTTGGTGCAATACTTGTTGGACAAATTTAATGTTTTCAGGTGTGATTTTGTATTAGAGGATGATATTCTCCACATTGAAGAGGTAGATGTCGAATACACATTGGGAATCCCGCGAGGGCGTATAGAGGTCAATGAGGGAACAAAGATACTCAACCCATGAATACAAACTGCTGCTGATTTCATGGAGAAGGAGGTGGGGTATTACAACAGGATCACCAATAACAACACAGATGCCAGATGAGATTGTTAGGAGAGCTGACCATGGTGATGGGTTCAAGAGGGACTTTGTAGTCTTTGCCGTTTCCTCCATGCTTCGAGGAAACACGACACGCTACTCCAAGTACAGAATCTTAAAGTCATTGATTCATGTTGATATGATTAAAGAATACAATTAGTGCGGCTACACATACAAATCTCTCATTGACTCGATAGAGACTTACAAGGAAGATAGAAGCAGAACCTTTTGGGGGCCAATGACATTGATATTGGTCAGTTCTTATTGTCTTTAATCTAATTGCATGAATTTTATGTAGTTGTGGATGTATAATTAACAATTTATTATGGATATATATGCATGAAGCTTGGAATATACTCAGTTTATTAAGATCCTTTATGTAGTTCTGAATTTGTGGATATATAATTTTAAAATTGTGGATATATAGTTATGTGATTATAGATATGTAGTACTCTGTGAATATATGAATGTATTACTCTGTGAACAGACTGTTAAGAATTATGGATATATAGTAATGTATTTTTGGATGTATAGTTATGGATTTATGGATATATATGCATGAAACTTGGAATATACTCAGTTTATTAAGATCCTTTATTTAGTTCTGAATTTGTGGATATATAGTTTTAAAATTGTGGATATATAGTTATGTGATTATGGATAAATAGTACTCTGTGAATATATGAATGTATTACTCTGAGAACAAAAAGTTAAGAATTCTGTACATATAGTAATGTATTTTAGGATGTATAGTTATGATTTTTATGGATATATATGCATGAAACTTGGAATATACTTAGTTTATTAAGATCTGAATATATATTTCTGATTTGTGGATATATAGTTTTAAAATTATGGATATATAGTTATGTGATTATGGATATGTAGTACTCTGTGAATATGAATGCATTACTTTGTGACCATGCAATTAAGAATACATGGGTAAATTGTTCTAAATTGATCTTTAACATAATCTTCTGTAATTTGTAGTTGTTCTACTTTGATCGAGTAGAATTCAAAGGAATGAAGGTCAACAGGACATACCCTAGCATATTTGCTTGGACAAGCACTCTTGTAAGAAAGAGAGTCAAGGCTGAAAAAAAAAAAGGCCGGGGGGTTTGGAAAGGGAAAGGATGTCCCTAGGGTTAAGAAGCCAAGGATTGCTGCTACCACCTCACTGCAACAACCTGCAAGCACTGCTGCTGCTACAACCTCACTGCCACAACCTGCATTTACTGCTGCTGCTACCACCTCACAGGCTACTACTTCTTCTACTCCTGCTACTGCAACACCGACACCACCTACAAATGAGCCACTCTCAAGTGTTGACCGGGTGACCCGTGTCCTCCAAAAGCTAGCATCAAATGTTCTGGAGTTTGGTGAAGCTATGTCTGGAACTGGAAAGCAGGACGCACCTATTGAAGTGATGAAGAAAGCATTCTCAGGGATATCAAACATGCTAGGTGCTGCAAGTGCAATTGAATCGACTTCCGTTCCAACTGCCTCTTAGTTGGATGACATATTCTTTGGGAGTGAAACCTTCACAGCTGCAGTGGATTCGTTGGTGGAAGCGTTTCAGAAGACAACAAGAACCATGAAAATTGAAGCTCCATCATTTGATTTGGGAATACACTGCAATGAATCCCAACCGCAGCCACATGAGCAAGAAACAGAGCAAGTAGTTGAAGATGAACAACCATTGGATGCTTTGGTTCAACAAATTGGAGAAGATGCATGACTGTCAACGCCCTTGGGAGCAGAAGTAACTCCTCCACTTGTTAGAGTCCCATTTCAAAGATATGTTCATCATGCCCCTGCTGCTGATGCTGATGTTGATGACTTTGATCGGTAAATTGACAGTTTGTTATTTACATTTAGCTTTAACGTTATGAATTTATAGTTCTAAGATTATGAATATAAAATTATGAACATTTTTACAAATGTGAACATATAGCTTTGAAATTGTGGATATACAGATATAAAATTATGAACATTTTATATCTGTGAATGTATAGTTCTATGATTATGGACATATAGGTTTAATATTATGGATATAAAGTTCTAACACTGTGGATATATAAACAACAGTGTCATGCAAGAAAGTGAGTCTGATGTTGAGGACGTGAATGTTAGGAAGAGACCCCAGCGATGATTCAGGAACAAACCTCTTTGTCTGAGGTCACCATACTGGACGCAGAATGCAGGTTTTATACGCACTGCAACTCCCCGGGAAAAAATCATCTCAAACTATGCATTCTTGAGTGTGTCTAACGAACACCCAGAAGAGTACGTTTGAACACGTATATTTATAACAAACTTTAAATTACTTAGATAGTTCATATTATTATTATTATTATTATTGTTGTTGTTGTTGTTGTTATTATTATTATTATTATTATTATTATTATTATTATTATTATTATTAGGCACAAGTGTCAAATAGACCCATCTACTACTGCGAAGTGCTCAATTCCCACCAAGAACTAAATTAAGTGTTAAATAGGCCCATCAACCAGTTAAATTTGTTCAATTGACATTTTTTACAGGTTGCTAGCAGGTTGTCTATATAATTATTAAAAATAAATAAATAAATAAATAGAATAATAAAAAAAAAGAATATCAGCCACCGGCTGCCCTTTCGTAGACAACCGGTGGCTGATTTTTATTTTTTTTTAATAAATTTTTAATTTTTTATTCTATTTATTTTTAATAATTAGATAGGCAACCTGTAAAAAATGCTAATCGAACAAATTTAACTGGTAAATGGGCCTATTTGACACTTAATTTAGTTCGTGGTGGAAATTGAGCACTTCGCAGTAGTAGATGGATCTATTTGACACTTGTGCCTTATTATTATTATTATTATTTTGGTGTTGTAGTGAGTTGCTGTTCAAGTATGGTGACTACTTGTCACGCCCCACTTCTAGGACATGACCCGGCCGTATCGTTACGTGAAGACTTGTAACAATACGCAGCGTAACCATACATACCTCTTGGAACCTTCATAATAACACTTGAATACATGATAATTCCACAGTTAAAATGGCAAAATATAATCAACTAGTTCTTCCCAAAAACTCATCAAATCCACTATTAAATATTTACAATCAAGAGTAGTATGTCCAAAATGCATCACAAGCACCGAAACCAAGCACAATGGTTTACAAAAAATACAAAGGGTCAAAGAGAATATCCAAATAAACAAAAGTCCGTGATAAGGTCCAATACTAGGACTAAGTCTCCTAGTTTCAAGAGTCAACTTCAAGAACCCACCACTTGTGCTCGTGCTATTCACATGTCCTTAACTACTCTGAAACATGAGGAAAAAAAATACAAATAATGAGCTAATGCCCAGTAAGTGGTATTCCTCTTAACCCCGGATCAAGTAAACCCAAAATATTACAAAAAGCTTTAGAGTAATAACTCGATGCAAAACTCGATCTTTAAACTATATCGAAGTCATAATACTTTCATCATACTATACACAAGTTCACAAAATAAGAAACTTTAGCTACATGGGCATCAACAATATTTCATAATACAATACTTTCAAATGCACAAACCATTCCTTAACATATGACTCATTGGCAACCTACAACCACCATTATCGGCATAATGGTCCAAAAAGACTCGACGATTCGGAATGAGTCGGGCTCGACGATTCAAAATGAGCCGGATGGAACGTTCCAACAAATAATTCAAAAGACTCGACGATTCGGAATGAGCAATTAGGAACGTTCCAAACCAAACAAAACAGACAACAAAATGTAGGTTGCCTCATGAGTTTGATGAAATAATCAAAATAGTTCTTATAATCAAATAGCCCGATGTAGCAAAAATCATTTCCTTAAAATCACATATCAAAGTACATATTTCCAAAATAGATAATAAGTTTATCAAATTAAGAAATATGCAAGGTATAAATCATTCTCAAAATAATAATTTTCTTAGTACATAATTCTTTAAAAATCATAGAATGGTTGATTAAACCAAAGTAATTTCAAAGGAAATGAAATGGCTTAGTTGGAAGAACTCAATTTAATATAATCATGAGGTTAAGAGTTCAATTCTCTCTTTAAATAAATAATCCTATTTATAAGCATGTAATACATATAGACAAATAAACCAAAGTATGCTAACAAGCAGAGTGGAACCCACGACTTACCACTACCTACACATTTAACCACAAGTCATTTCACCATCTCTACACTTGATGATAATTTTAGTTCAGATTAAATAAGACCATACTTTCTGTCCGGAAACACAGTTCACAACAAATCCAGTCCATATTACATAGCAACGTTTCTAGTCCAAAAATACGCAGCTCAAGCTTCAACATAACAATTCGGAACACAAGCTTAATTTATAGTATAGGGTAAAAATAGTTTTGAGAGGAATAAGCACTTACTTAAAACATCCAAACCTTAGCTATTTAGCTTGCCCAAATACTCCTTGTCAAAATCCCTAATATTTTCAAATATCAATCTTAGGGCTCCAAAGATAAACCCAACTCATAATGAGCAAAAGATAGAGGTTAAACTCACCTAGAATACCCAATATCTTAGAGATCTAAGCTTGAAGAAGATGGAGATCAAAGCTTCAAGGTTTTTCCCTTCCTCTATCTCTCTAGCCAATATTCTCTTTTTCTTCTTTCAAATGAGATGGTCTTCCAATATAAAAGGGATTCCTTAAGCTTTAAGGATAAAGAGGGGTAATTTAGTAACTTTATCTAATATCAAATTTTAATAAGCTTTGACTTGTTGACCTCATTTACTAAACATATATATATTTTATTTATAAGGTTGTGGGTATTACACTACTACCTAACAAGGCGTCACTTCTCAACTTTGAGCAACGACGAGCTGGATATAGACTTCTTGAATGTTTGGTCTTTGCGACTAACTTTGAAGAACACAGAACGTGCTGTTGGGAAACCAAAACGAGTATTCTTCACCACACTGCCACATGTAAGAGTTATTTTTGACATGCAGATGCATATTTTTAAAAATATGGCTGTGTGGCATTATAATTCTAGATGTATAGCTTATAATTTTTGGATATATAGTACTCTATGCCTTTTGAATACTCATTTTTGCATTCTGTGTATTCAAAAACAGCTGCAGCTTGATCCATCTGATGATTGGATGAAAAGTCTCCCGGCCGAGAAAAAGATGGAAAATTTCAATGATAGATTGAATTATGAAATATCAAGTTTTGGAAACTTGGAAATCAATGATGCAGACCTTGTAAGATCTATTACACACACTCAATTTAAGAATTTAAGAATTTATTATGGATATATATGCATGAAGCTTGGAATATACAAAGTTTATTAAGATCCTTTATTTAGTTCTGAATTTGTGGATATATAGTTTTAAAATTGTGGATATATAGTTATGTGATTATGGATATGTAGTACTCTGTGAATATATGAATGTATTACTCTGTGAACAGACTGTTAAGAATTCTGGATATATAGTAATGTATTTTTGGATGTATAGTTATGAATTTATGGATATATATGCATGAAACTTGGAATATATCCAATTTATCAAGATCCTTTATAAAGTTCTGAATTTGTGCATATATAGTTTTAAAATTATGGATATATAGTTATATGATTATGGATATATAGTACTTTGTGAATATATGAATGTATACCCATGCAGTTAATAATACATGGGTATGTAGTTGTTCAAATTTGATATTTAACATAATCTTCTGTAATTTCAATTTATCATGTCCATAAATATTAACATCGTTATACCTTTTGTTTTGGAATTAGATATTTTTCCCAGTGCATCACCATGCACACTACTTTGTTGTGTGCATAAATGTCAAGGAATCCAAGGTTCAGGTGATAGACAACAAGGAATTGCATGCTGGTGTTTCAGAGCTTGATAAATATGGGGACTGTCCATATACACTGGTAGCTTATATTATATTAAAAAACTCCTTATTGTCACCTATATATTGAATTTAAAACATTATGAACATTGAGCTAATTTTTTACCAGATTGAAGCATTCAAGGCGTACCTGACAGCAGGACAATCCACCTTGACTCCCAAACTGAACAGCATGCCAGTAGAGTTCCTTGCCATGGACTGGAAAAATGCTGAGAATGTCACCAACTGTGGCATATATGTAATGCGGCATATGGAGACTTACATGGGTGGAGCTCTCGAGAACCGGGATCCTGGGTTCAGGAAACATATGCGCACAAATGTAAGAGTAACATAAATATATTACATTCAAACTACATTAAAAAAGGATAACAAAATTACAATAAACTAATTATTTATTTTTCTTAATTTACAGGCTAGCTTCATTTGTGAGTTTAGGGCAAAGTATGCTGCTTGTATCATCACATCAAAATTGAACACCGTCATAAGCCAGGTCATAAAAGTTGCAAAGATTGAAGACAAGAAGAAGTAAAAGTGCAAAGATCATTGAACGTTTTTTGTTATGATCAAACATTGTTTTGTAACAACTTTATTGCAATTGTTGCAATTTCTGATCTTATGAAGTTCACAGATTGTTTTGTAACAACTTTATTGCAATTTTTGCAAATTCTGATCTATGAAATTCACGGAATATATAGTTCTCATATTATGGATATATAGCTTTAAGATTGTGTATATATGGATATAAAATTATGAACATTGTACATAAGTGTAAACATAAAGTTCAAAATATTCATGAATTTATATTTCAAAGATTATGGACATATAGGTTTAAGATTGTGGATATATTGATATAAAGTTATGAATATTTGTACAACTGTGAACATAACATTTTACATAAGTGTAAACATCAAGTTCAACTATTTATGAATTTATATTTCTAATATTATGGACATATAGCTTTAATATTGTGGATATATTGATATAACATTATGAACACTTTTACTAATTTGACATACAAGTCCAATAATTTGTGGTCATATAGTTCTCAGAATATGGATGTATAGCTCTAATATTATGGATATATAGCTTTAGTATTATGGATAAATAGCTTTAATATTATGGATATATAGTTTTAAACCTGCAAAGCAACAAGTACTAAAATTTTGAATACACAGATCAAAAACTTGTAAATTGATATCCTCAAAACAACTAACAACTTGTATTAACCCCAATCCCAATCTACAACTGCATTATCATCTAAATCATTACTAAACTGACAAAACTCCGAACTCCCAGAACTTGGATGTACAAGGTACCCATCCCCGGCAATCTCAGATATAATTTCCAAAACCAACGACTGAACAACACCCTTTGTACTCGAAGCAACTTTATTTGCAACACTCCTCCTCCCCCTTGCAACACTGTACTTCTTTTCAATAACACTACTCCTCCTTACATTACGCTCACCTTTTGATCTCCGGTTTGAAGGATTTTGAATGACACCACTTGAAGATGAAACACCACACTCTTCAATATGCACATAGCCAATCTCAACTTCAACCTTTTTCTTTGCATCCTCAACTGCTTCATCGCAGAACTGCCTAGTTACACTGTTATCTTGACTAGATACAATCAATCTTTGAAATTTTCTACAAATCTCCACAGCCCAAATTGAAGGAGAGACACCAGCTCTATAAAACATTGGACTAGTATTCACATCCCTACCATCAGCAACCTTTTTAGTCCACCTTTTCATGATATATTTATTAGGCATACTAGAAACACAATGTATATGAAGAATACGTAAACAATGGCAGCATAAAATTCCCAACTCGGAAATCAACTTGCAACTACACGAAATGTCCAAGGTTGCCAACTTAAAACTAACTTCATGCCTTATAATATCTATATCTGGACGTCATACATGATACTTGAACTGACAGCCATCATTCAACACCATTTCTTGATGACAAGCATTGCCTTTCATAAATTGTTCCTCAAACAAAAAATATATCTCAATCGTATATACATCTCTAGCGTGTAAAAGAAGTTTTACGTGCTTCATCATCATAGTGGGTACCCCTTGAGCACAACGAAAATCTTCACCATTCTCTTTGCTTCTCCATTCAAAAATTACACTAACAAATGATGAATAAAAATCACAAAGACCCGCAGTCTTAGACAGCCTTCTTGAAATCGAATGATTAGTAGTTTCACTCCTTTGCGACGATAAAATGCCCCCTGAAAAATAATCCTTGTTGAATGCTGGACACCACTTCTCCCTATAGTCATACATCTTTTGTATCCAACTATTCTTGTGACACTTATAGTCAGTCACCAGCCTGAAAATGATAAGACATGTGTTCAGAACTCTAATGCTATATATCCACAAATCCAATACTATAAATCCATAAATTGAATGCATATAATTCAAAGACAAACAGGAAGCTCACTGCTTCACTACTACATGTTCAGACAATTAATACTATATATCCATAATTCTAATGCTATATATTCACAATTCCAATACTATAAATCCATAAATTGAATGCATGTAATTCAGAAACAATCAGAAAGTTCCATGCTTTACTACTACATGTTCACATAATTCTAATACTATATATCCATAATTCTAATACTAAATATCCACAATTCCTTTACTGGAATGAAAAATAAATAAAAAATTAGTGGACATACCTTGTCCAATAAAATTCAAAATTAGCTTCAGTCTCTGTGTATTTCAACACACAGTTAAACATATCCAAGAAATCCTTATTATTCCTTAACGCCTTGATATGCTTCTTCGAATTATCACCAATATGTCATATGCAAAGACGATGACGTGATGTTGGAAACACCTGACAAATAGCAGCAGCCATGGGACTGCGGACACTTCCCATTCATAGATCTTAAAAATGCTCTAAACAACCACACAAATGATTCTATCCTATCATTCATCAAAAAACCACATCCAAACATTACATTCATACAGTGATGGTTCATCCCTACAAAAGGGCCACAAATCATATCATATTTATTGGTGCGATATGTTGTATCATGCACTAACAAATCCCCAAACAACTCATAGTCTTGTCTCATCCGACCATCCCTCCAAAAAAAACTGCACAGTCTTGAATCGCAATCAACTTCAAAATCGAAGAAAAAATCAGACTCAGTCGACTGCCTCTTCCTAAATATTTCAATTAATGAGTTTGAATCTGTTCCATCCAAACACTTTGATGTATCAGAAGCATTCGAATTATAAGCATCTCGATTAGTGAAACCAATTAATGGAGACCCCCCTGCTTGATGTTTCAAAAACCTAATACCATCTGCCATTGCAACACCACTTTTCTTCAAATCTTTTAAATATAACAGCTGATTATCACCCACATTTCTATGTGAACGGAGAAGATGACTCTTGTCTACCGCACATAACTCGTGGTTGTGCACTTTTACGTGTTTTGTAACCGTGCACAACCCATCCTCACCCACGTCAAACTGAAAACATGCACCACACCCTGTCCTTATGTCAATTTTTGAATATGCCCTAACACCAGCATTTGCCTTAACCTTAAAACCAGCCTTAGAACACATAAACATCTTAATTTGGACTGTTTTACTATATACCTTGCAACGTTGATTACCCTTCCTCACACTAAAATCAACTCTATATGCATAATTGTTATACAACTCTTAAGCTTCAACCCCGTTACTTACAACAACACCAACCAAATCTTCATCAACTGCAAATGCAAAATATAACCTCAAGTATAACAAATAATACACATTCCATTGAAAATATAATTCCTAAGTAGAGGGGGTGCGGGAAATCCCGAATAAATCCAACCATGCTCTACAAAAGGAATAACATTTTCCATGGAAAAAGAATGAAAATATAACAATGCTGAACAATGTGAATTATGAGCATATAAAACTACATATAAACCTGGAATTGAAGAAGAACCATCAATGTCTAACTCTTTTGGATCTGAACTTGATGAATCAACAACAACATCTTCACTGACTGCATAATGTTACAAGCCAGAACAGAGTATCAGTTTAGAAATTTTGAATATATAGTATTAGAATTCTGGATATATAGCTCACAATTTCTGTACATAAAGTTCAATAATTATGGATATACAATCCAGAACAGAGTATCCGTTCACAAAATCCTGGATATATACTATTATAATTCTGGATATATAACAACTTCTGGTCATATAGTTCAAAAATTATGGATATATATTTCGTTCATTCAGAAAACCATAAACACATAAACACCCAAAAATTACGAATGATCTCAGACTAGAATGACCAACATCACATACGTTCAGGGTCGTAAAAATCGGTTTAGGCGCCCGTCTAGGCCCCGCCTAGGCGCTAGGCGCCTCTAGACCGTGGCGATTTCCCCCCTAGGCGCCCGCCTAGGTTACCGGCCGCTTAGGCGTCCGCCTAGCGCCTAACTCGGTCGATTTGGCCGCCTAGCGTCTAAGTTAGTCAAGTTAACTCGTCCATTTCGGTCGAGTTAACTCGATCGGCTCGGCCTATTTTTTTTATTATATATGTGTGTGTGTGTGTGTCTGCGCGCGCGCATACATATATATAATATGACATATATACACTCGTAAACTAGTTTGATACTTTGAATCTTTAGATGATTGAAGTATTTGAGTATTTCATATTTGAGTATTTTTAATTTTTAATATTGTTTTAATGATTTTTTTTTTTGAAAACCATTGTTTTGATGTTATGACTTACGAATATCATTAATTCATTTATTTGGATGTGTTATTTGATTAAATGTTGAAAACAACCTCATTAAAATTGTCAAACTGCAAGTTTACCACTGTTTTTTTGGCGCCCGCCTAGCGCCGCCTAGATTCCGCCTAGACCGCCTAGGCGCTAGGCACTGTCCGGGCGCCCGACTAGTTCCTAACGCCTACTGCAACCATGCATACGTTATATACAATCGCACTAAATATAAACACCTAAACAATATATCACACTGCAACAATCAAAATAATCGCAAACGATCACAAATCCATAAAAAACCAAATGCAAAATAACCTGGAATTGTATGCAATTCATCAACTGCTTGATCTCTCTGATCTACTGCCTCCTCCATCATATAATCCATACACAAAATCAGGAAAACGACTGCGATTGCTATTGCGATTTCACGTATACTAAAATCAAAACGCCAAACTACCAAAATTCGCAAGACTACTAAAACTTTGAAAGCGTGCAAAAATCGCAAATACGATATGAATAACGCCGTTAACGGCCATTCAATTTTTTTTTTATTATTTTATTTTATGCGAGCCGTGTCGTTTTTTAATAAAACGACGCCGTTTTGCAACCGTATGCACCTTGCAAGGTGCATTCGGTGGCACGACATAAATTGCGGTCCTAGTGCCTTATTTAGAGGTTATTTGAGTTCATTGACTTAATTGTTATTTCCCAAATAGTTCAGTGACTTATTTGTACTTTATCCTTATTTTTAAATGGAAAATAAATATTATTTTTTTTGCTTTTTATTTTGATTTTTTTAAAAAAACATTTAGATTTCTTTTAAAAAAATGAAAAATTGTATAAAAAATGCACTAAAAATTCAAAAAAAAAAAAAACGCACTGAAAATAAAAATTTAGAAACCCTAATCTCACACGACCGCTGAATAGCACTCCAGAATCTGCGACCAACAGAAGGACTCGAGACAACGCCATGACAGCACTTTAGCAGGCAAGCCGGCACGACGCCTCCGGCCGTCAAAGCGATCACCCCGGTTAGGCCAACAACGACCCTATCTCTCTGCGGATTGCAATCTGCGACTCTGCGTAGTGCGAGAGTGCGGTGAAGACTGCGATTGCGTAGTGCGTGTGACACCCCGATATTTTATAACAACTTATTTTAATAAAATATTCCTAGTAACAAAATCTATTTTTCAATCCTAAATATTTTAGCCCAAAATGTTTCAAAAACAAATTATTGTCTCAAAGTTCAAATAAATTATTTGATAACTCATAATTTTGCTACTCAAAATCTATATCAACCTGACAAAATTATTTTTATATAAATATCAAATTTTCTAAAAAGCCCAAATAATTTTTCTTGAGCAAAAAGAAAAATACTTTTAGTCCAATTTCCTAGCCCAAATTGTACACTAACAAGTTTTGTGACCCAAAACCCTAGCTTTGTTATAATATATATATAAATTCATACCCTTGGTCCAGTATCTATCTATCCTTAAGATAGCAGCCGCCACCGCCATTGACACCTTCTTCTTCGTCGACTGCAGCGGACAACAATCTCCACCAACGACCACCCATCACTGTCATCAGCCCTTTTTCCCTTCTTCCGGTCGGCGAGACAGCACAGACGCGACGAACCAGTGGCGCGAAGAAGCTACGGGGTATACAGTTCCGACTCCTTCCGGCGAACTGAGGACGGCTAGAACGTCTGGGAGCCTCTGCCTCTCCTCTCTTTTTTTTCCGACGCGGCAGCAACGGCGGTATTCCTCGGCGAGCTCCGGCGAAGCAGTAGGCGGCGACGAGGGCAGAGCAGAGTAGTTTCCGGTAGTAGTAGCGTGGTCCGGCTAGTGGTGTAGCTGGTTTCGACGGTGTTGGTAGCGAGAGTTGGTCGTCGAAGGAAGGTGAGCTTCCATTGTTGTTGTTGAAGTTGTTCTGAATATGGATTATAAAGGCAATTAAAGACTAATGACTTTGGTGAAGGTTTAATTACAATAATTAGTGTTATTGATTTGAGTTGTTTATTTAATTAGTTAATAATGAATGGATGGATTAATCTGAGTGAAGTAGACGCAGAAGTGTAATTTGGAAATGGGTTAAAGATGATAATGAGGGGTTATGGGTGTTGATGATGATGAATGGATTATGGAATAATGATGATGAGTTAATCATTGGTGATTATAATTTATATTACGGATGATGATCAGATTGTGATGTTGATTAATTGATGAAGGTTGATTCTGGTTTAATATTTAATTACTAATTACTAATTACTAATATTAATGATGATGGTATGATGACTAATGTAATAGTTATGGACTAGATGATAATATAATAATGATGATTATTAGGATTAGTAAGTTAATGGGGATTAATGGCTAATGATGGTTGGTTATTATATGATGATACATGATGATGCTATGAAATAATATGATGGTTTATGATGAGTATAATAATGATGATTATAGTATTAATAATGGGTGATTAGATAATGATTTAGAATGGTGATAATTATGGATTCTGTGTTGATTAGATGATGATGGACTACGTAGAATATTAATAGTATATGATGATGAAGTGGATGGTGTGGTAATTTCGGTTGGGGACTATTAATGATTATGGATTAATGATTAAATGAAGAATTGATTGATTCACAGGTTCTCTATAGAAGTGGCTAGTTTAAGAGTTGAGCCTAAGGTAGGGTGTTTGGCTTTTGGAGCTTAGCTGTGAGGTAAGTTTCTATGTCCGTTTAAATTACTTTGCCCTATTAAATGTGCTACTTATTTGAGTTGTTTACTTAAATTATTTTAAAATGTGTTCTAGTTTCAAAATGTGATAAATAGCAAAATATGTTATTTTGGGGTTGACTTGTGATCTATATGGGTTGAAACTATATTTTTGAAAGGTGTATAATCTATGGTGTGCCCAAATGTTTTACATATTGAAAACCTATTATAATTGAGATTGATTTGAGTATTGGAAAACTTATAATTTTGTGATATATATTTATATTGCTATAGAGTTCGATGAAACTCATACTTTGAGAAATTGTGGTTGAAAACCTAAGTATATTGAAATGAGTGAAACTGTGTTTATGTTGGAGGATATGGAGTTATATTTATTTTTGAAGAACTATCTTTTTGGAAGAAATGTGTAAATTAGAGAAAATGTATTATTTTGCATACTATTGTATTCTTTTTGGAGGATTAAAACTAATTTGGAACGTATGGATATTGATGGGTTATATATACTCTATGCTATTTGAAAGTTGTGATTTAAATAGTCTACGGGAAAATGAGAATGTTTACGAAAATCTATTTTTGGATAACTATTCTTATTTTTGGAGGATATATAAAATGTATCTATTTTTGGAGGATATGTGGATATGTTGGATGGTTGATGAATGGTGGACTTTGGTCCTATGTGGGTTCTGGCCCTATTTTGATGAGATTGTATCTGGTAGAAAGCATCCTGGATACCTATTATATGTGGAGTAGCCTGGTAGAAAACATCCTGGGCTACTTGGACTAGTTACTACTCTTTTGGGTGGGGGAAGCCCATTAGAGGGTGTGCACACTTAAGGTTTTAGTCCTTTATCCCACAAAAGGGACAAACTTGTGGAGTGGCCGGTAGAGTGGATTACTGTGTCACTAGGGCTTAGTTGATCTAAGACCCTTTGTCCCTTTCACCTTATATATATTAGAGTATATGGACATGTGAAATCTCGTCAGTGATGGTTATGATATTCCTCCATATGTATATGTGATACTTGGAAAACTGATTTGAGAAATATGATTTGAATTCCTCCATACCTATGATTATTGATGTATATGTTTTGAGAATGGCTTATGAGAAAGTCTATACTAAAAATGATTATTTGAGAATATCTATGTCTTGAGATGAGTAATCGATGAGTAAACTATATGTTGCTATGAGTTCCTCCATATCTATATTATGTATATCTTAGAAATGCTTATGAGAGATGATGGTTTATACAAATGATTATTGTATTGTAAAGTATTATGTGAGAAAGCTTACTTCGAACCCTCTATACTTATGTTATTTTGAAAATAAGAAAGGATGACTATATATTAGTTATACCATTTTGGGAAGTGCTAAGTATTATTATTTGGGATCTCTATCAACTTGTATCAAATGTAGTGTTTTTCTGACTAGAGTGTGTATGGCCTTGGTGCCTAACCTACTTTTGGGAAAACTATTTTGAGAAAGGATATAATACCTATTTTTGGGTGTGAGTCGAGAATATTTTTACGGTAGTTATGTACCTATATATTCACTTGACTAAATGTTTTCTAAATGGTGATCTATTCAAGTCTCAAAATTTGTTTACAAAGTATAATTATTTTCAAATTATAAATGTATTTATTTTACAGGGCGGAGTAGAGCTTACTTAGCATTTTATGCTAATTCTGTTGTTTGTGTTTTTCCTAAATCTTTTGTTTTCAGGAGATGAAATTAGTGGCTTGCTTTTAGAGCGCTGTGTATAGTTCGTATGCCTTGTAATAGAATTTGTATCCGAGAATTGTTTATGGTATAGTTGAATGGATTAGAACCTAGATTATTTTATAGTTAGTTGTAATCGGATTATTCAACCTTGTATTTGGATTGTAGATAGAAACTTTGTAGCCTGTGCATTTGGGTTTAGAATAACCCAAGTGTGGCATAACACCCCGTGTTGTTGGTTTAGCTTCCGCATATTTTGAGAAATATTTTCTTTTTATTCCTTAGTTTCTATACTTAAATTTTGGGGGTGTTACAGTGCGAGTGTGCAACGAAGACTGCGAGCAGCTGACGAAGGCAATACTCTGGTTTCCAGGGAACAACGACTTGGCAACTGGTATTTTTTTACCTGTTCATTCTATTTCAGCGAACAACGAACTGCAAATTTGATTATTAATCCTTCCTCAACCAGTTAATCTAAACATATATTAGTTTGGTTTTGTGTAATAATCTTAGGCTCCTGCATCTATTTTTTGAATCATTAGTTCTTGTGGTGTTTTCCAGGGAAAAACTGTGAAGTTGGCTTCAAGTTATTCAATAGCTCAAAAATTTGAGCTGAAAACTTTAAGCTCAAATCGAGCCATCGAATTGAGGTCGAGGGATATGAAAATTAGCAATAGTTATGCCATGGACTGGGAAGGTGGACCTGGGTCAAAATACACAATTTATATACGGAATGTTCACAATTTACATACTGAATTGTGAACATTCAGTATGTAAATTGTGAACATTTAGTATATAAAATTGTGAGCATTCGGTAGTTAAATTGTGAACCTTCAGTATATAAATTGTGTATTTTTGGACCCTGGTAGGCGGGTACACATTGCAAGGTAGACCCGGGTCCACAGAATAATTTGACCGCTCGAGCCAACCTAGGTTCATCCGGCTCGGGCTCGGCTTATTACACCTCTAGTTTTAAGTGACTCTCATCCAGACCACCCTCATATTTCTCTAGCAATGTTAATGACTGTGATGCTATTGCTAACCCAAGTAACCAGTTTTGCATCATTTTTGTGAAACTATGACTAATGATGTTGTTTTGGGTTTCAAGTCTCTACTAGATTGACTACAAGAAGGGGAAAAAGAATAAGAAGCCATGAAAGGAGGAAGAAAGAATTTGAAGAGAGCTGGGAAAGAAAAAACTGCAATCCTTCAACAAGGCCAAAGCATTATGCAAGTAGTTGACCTCCGTGGCTCGAATATAATCGAGGTGACTCTCCTTCTCCAATGCTCTCTCTCTCTCTTTCTACACACACACACACACACACAATATTTGCATATATGTATGTTTTGTGTATTGCATGATTCTAAGTTGAATTATTTGAATGTAAAGGTATTGGATGCAAATGGTGAAAAGTCATTAGCAATTTTCCCAGCTAAGTTTCAAAAGAGCATGTGGATTAAAAGAGGTTTGCTTTGCTCTATTAAGAGAATAGCTTGTACATGTATATCAATTTTTAGCTTTTATTTTGGGAGGAAAAGGAAAGTGAATATGAAGTTCTGATTTGTACGATCTTTCTTTTCTGGGAAAGAATAGGGAACTTTGTTGTGGTCGATGAGAGTGGGAGAGAGGAGGCTATAGAGTCAGGTAGAAAAGTGGGTTGCATTGTTACACAAGTGCTTTTCTATGATCAAGTTCGTGAGTATCAAAAGTCTCCAGAATGGTGAGTGCTTGAAACTAATACAAAGAAATTCTTTATTTGCGTAATTGAATTCAGCCTTTGAATAATTGAATGCAACTCACATGTTCTAAGACTCAGTTAGAATAGTGACATTGAGAAACTATTCTGTGCTTTGGAGTCTCGTGTTTATCGCTATGTTTCTACTTTCAATGCAGGCCTGAAATCTTCAAATCTGCAGTAGTAGAAACTTCAAAGGAAAATTTGGAGAGACATACTTCTCAGACACAAGATATTGAAGACTCGAGCGATGATGATGGACTTCCTCCGTTAGAAGCCAATACCAACAGACTAAAGCCTTTCCAATCAGAATCAGAGACAGAATCGGAATCCGAGGCTGATTCCTGATTTGCACTAATCAAATTCACTTCCGATCTGGGAAACAATATAGGTTGTGTTTGGTTGATTGGTTTTGTCCATAGGAATGGGTATGAAAGTGATTGTTATTGTTTGGTTGATAGGTTTTAGAACACTACTATGGGTTTCGAATATCCCATCAATTGAAAAATTCATACCCAAATAAAATATGGATTTTATTCCATTATTCATTCTTAAGCACTACTATTAGTAACCATTCTCATTCCACTCTATTACCAAACATGTTAAATACTTTCACCAAAATCTATTACCATTACTAAGTATTTGATATTTATTCCGATTTCCATGTGCGAATTAAACACACTCATAATTCATTGTCTGAACTCAGATTTTTTCGAATACCGTTTGTTGAGTTTGTAAATGTTGTAAGTGGAATATCAACACATATACATTTATACAATATCCTATATGTAACAAATAAGAACTAATTTTCAGCCATAGTTATTATTTAGGAATTTGCCTTGAAGTTGTTGTAGATGTTTTGGCAGGTTATCTCCCACTTTTTCTATGGTTCGGTATAGATGGTGTATGTATTGTCAAACAGACAGTAACCTAAGCAGTGGGGGACCTTGCTTATATAGCTTATATACCTTGCTTATATAGTTTATATGCCATCAATATAGACTTTGTAACGGAAACCGTTACAATACTTGATGGCACCACTTAATGGTTATTTAAGGACCCTCATAACTTGCACCATTTATTGCATTTTCTAAATAGAAAATGTAATATTTTCTCACTTGGTGCAATTACATACTTAAAGAAACAAAGAACATGAACTATAGAGATATGTTTTTTTAATACGAGTAGTATCTACTATAATTACAACGTAACTTGTTCTCTAAGTAAAACTTAATAGATAAACCTTATCTTTATTCCAGGTTTGAAGGATATATATTTTTTCACAATAATAAAATATGTACACAATACAATAATGAGAAAATATCTGAATGCTTTAAGAATTTCTTAAAATAATTAAATGTATACAAATTTTACAAAGTGGTTCCAAGTCTCATTTTCTCAATAAAATCCCTAAACTTGAATGTGTGGTATGCCTTTAATCAAGGGATCAACAATCATCAACTCAGTCCTTATATGCTCAATGACCACTTCCTTATCCTTAACACGCTCCCTGATAACCGACTGCAGCTAAGTTGTCACAATAAACCTTTAACGACTTAGAAATAGAGTCCATAACTCTAAGCTCGGAAATGAAATTCTTAAGCCATACACCTTGAGATGTAGCCCCAAAACATGAAATGAACTTGGTTTTCATGGTAGAAGTTGTGACAAGAGTTTGTTTAACACTTCTCCATGAAACAGCTCCACCAACCATGATAAAAATGTACCCCAAAATTGATTTCCAAGAATCAATGCAACTGGCAAAGTCTGCATCAGAATATCTAACAACGTCTAAAATGCCTGTTTGCTTGAACACAAGCTTATAATCTTTGGTACCCTTGAGATACCTCAAAATCTTCATTGTATCTCTCTAGTGCTCTAAACCCGGATTGATTTGATATCGTCCCAGCATTCCAACAGCAAAGGCAATGTCCGACTTGGTACAGACTCGAACATACCCGAGACACCCTACAAATGAAGCATAAAGAATATTCTTCATGGATTCTCTTTCAAAATCATTCTTTGGACACTGGTCCAAACTGAAATTTATCACCTCTCACTATAGGAGCTGGATTTGGTGAACAATCCTTCATCCAAAAATTTTCTAAGACTTTGTTGATATAGGTTTCTTACGATAGTCCCAGAATACCCAAGGATCTATCCCTATGGATCTTTATGCCAATGACATAAGATGTCTCACCCATATCTTTCATGTCAAAGTTCTTAGAAAGGAATTGCTTAACCTCATGCAACATCCCCTTATCATTTGTTGCTAGCAAAATATTATCCACATATAAAACAAGAAAACAAAATTTACTCCTACTTACTTTCTGGTATATGCAATGATCTAAGGGACTTTCAACAAATACATATGAAGAAATGACCCTGTCAAACTTGATATATCATTGGTAGGAAGTTTTTTTTAAACCGTAGATGGACTTTTTGAGCTTACAAACCAAATGATCACCTTCACTAGAGGAGAAACCTTCAAGTTGTTTCATATAAACCACCTCTTCTAGATCACCATTAAGGAATGTCGTTTTCACATCCATTTGTTGCAATTCAAGATTGAAATGTGCAACCAAAGCCAAAATTATACGAAGTGAATCTTTCTTTGATACAGGAGAAAAAGGTCTCCATCTAGTCGATTCCTTCTTTTTGAGTAAACCCTTTAGCAACGAGTCTAGCCTTGTATCGCTCAATGTTGTCTAATTAGTCATTTTTAGTCTTATAGACCCATTTACAGCTAATAGCCTTGGCCCCATTTGGCAATTCACCAAGGTCCCAAACCCCATTGCTCCGCTTGGAACTCATTTTTTCGTTCTTGACTTCATACCATAAATCTGACTCTCAGTTTATGGCTTGTGAAAACATTTCCGGATCATTTTTGACTCCATACACTATATAATCACTCGGAATTGACGGTATTTTTTCTCGATTAGATCGTCTTAATGTTGAACTGCCATCTTCTTGAGAAGTTAGCAGTTCAACTACCGCTTTAGGAATTCCTGAATTAGTTGATCTATTGGAATAATATCAGCATTTTGTGGAACTTCTCCAATAGATTGTTCAATACCCGTTTGAACTTGAGGGGTGCTTGAAAATATTATCAACCTATCCAATGACGTAGAAGGACATGATTCAATATGATCGTGATTAGAAATCAAATCATTGAACCGATCCCTCTCACTAATCATATCCAAGGTTGCAAAACTCGGCCGCCTAGCCGCCTAGGCGCTAGGCGGCCCCGAGCCTTGGAGTTTTGGCCAAAACTCGGCCAAAACTCGGCCGGCCGCCTAGGCGGCCTGGGCGGCCAAACTCGGCAAACTCGGCCGAGTCGGTCAACTCGGCCGAGTCGACCGATTTAGTCCGATTTTGACCGTTTTTGACCGATTTTGTTCGATTTTGACCGATGTCGTCTTTCATTAATTATTGATTTTAATATTATTATGACATTATGACTTATAAATTATCATTATTTCATTTATTTAGATGTGTTATTTGAGTGAACGTTGAAAACAACCTCATTAAAATTGTCGAACTACAAGTCTGTTACTATTTTTTTTAATTTTTTTGGTGCCCGCCTAGCGCCGCCTAGAATCCGCCTAGGCGCCGCCTAGACCGCCTAGGCGCTAGGCGCTGCCCGGTCGCCCGACTAGCGCCTAGCGCCTACTGCAACCATGATCATATCATCTTCAAGAAACTTAGCATTTCTTGATTCCACAATCCTAGTTGAATGAGATGGGCAATAAAATATGTAACCCTTGTAAGATTATGCGTATCCAATAAAGAAACCACTAATAGTCCTCAAATCCTACTTCTTTTCTTGTGGGTTATATGTCCTCACCTCAAACGGACATCCCCAAATACGCATATGTTGCAAACTCAATTTCCAACCTTTAAATTACTCAAATGGTGTATTTGGGCCAGTCTTGGTTGGAACACTGTTTAATATATACATAGTCGTCTTAGGTGCTTCGGCCCACAGAAATTTAGGACGTTTTGAGTTGCTAAGCATACTCCACATCATGTCAATAAGCATTCGGTTTCTTCTTTCAACAATACCATTTTGGCCCGGAGAACCAGGCATGGTGTATTAGGCAACAATCCCATGTTCTTGAAAAACTTAGCAAAAGGACTTGGTGCTTGTCCACTGTGTACCTACCATACTATTCACCACCTTTGTCGGATCTTACTATATGTATTTGTTTCCGACATTGGTTATAAACTTTAGTCTTAAAAGACTTGAAGGCATCCAATGCTTCATTCTTGTTATGAATCAAATACACAAGTAAATCGTGAATAATCATCAATAAAGGTGATAAAATACTTTTGACTTGGCATATCCATATCTAGACAGCAAATGTCAGTATGTATGATTTCTAATATGCTTGAACTTCTTTTGGAACCTTTCTTAGACTTTTTTCGTTTGCTTTCTCTTAATGCAATCTATACAAGTCTCGAAATCAGTATAATCAAGAGTACTAAGTACCCCATTATTTACTATCTCTTTATTCGTTCAAGGGAGATATGACCTAATCTCCGTTTTAGCTCTCAAGAACTCTCTTAAATCTTAGAAGAAGGAAGATCTAGATTGGAAGAATTGACAACTCTTGTGATCTAGAAGCTAATCCTCCTCAATTATTGATTGTATTTCATCTTGGATTGAAGATTGGTACTCTCTTTACTTTCATCAATTTCTTACTTTTCATCTTCATCTACAATGCAATTCTTCAATTCCTTGTGTTTACCATCTATGAATATGAGTAGCTAAATATCTAGGGTTAGGATTGTGAATTTATTTCAATTGTGCTAGTGTGATGTTTAATTGATTGATTGGAGTTGTGATTGTGATGATTGTGTAATTTCATATTGGAAAAGGAAGATTTGTCTTATATCCTAGGAGTGGGGCCCAACTCTATTGATAGTTTAGGATTCGTCACTCTAGATAAGAGATTGTTAGGTTGATGTAGCCTCATTTCCATTTATAATTCCCGCCTAAGATCTGAGAGGGCGTAGCCCGGAATGAGGTATAGACCATGTGTTTGTTGAATTGACTCATAGAGACATGCTGACACTCGGGTGCTACATTGCCCTATGATAACCATAAAGACCTAAAATGGCTATGGCATTGCTAAACAACTCGCTTGAAATGCAATAATCACAAATCTCACAACTCCTACCTAAGACACTAGAAGCACTTTGCAATAAAGGAGCAATCCTAGTCCCGTCTCCCCAATTTGATCTATACTTGCATACTATCATTTACTCTTGCACTCTTGCTCTCAATTTACTTTAATTAAACAATGCTCTTTGAATTTCGTAAGTGACAAGCTTGAATCCCCGCGCTAACTCACTAGCATATCTCTTTGCTTCCAAATTTACAATCCTTTGAGAACGATAACTCGGGAACCTTCATTCCCAACCTACTTTCCATCCTCAGGCTAAAAACTACACTTTCAAAAATGTATTCCTGTGGGAGAATGGAGGGGAAGGCATGACCAGAAAAGTAGAAGACCAATACTATCATATTCTCACACTTAAAGAA